CTGAGGGGCTGAGGACTGGAGAGAGAGAGATCACCAAGCAAAGTCTGAACCTCTCGTCTGAGCTGATTATTATCTTCCTGCTGATAATACCACGTGCCATGCTGGGGAGTCTGGTCAGCTGGAGGGGCTGAGGAGTCAGGATGTGCCCATGGTCAACTGGGGAATAGTTGTGCGACACAGCCGAACAAAAACTCCCTGATAACGACTGTGTGTTGACTGTTCTTCCCCCTCTGTGCAAGGCCACCTGGGTTGGCTGGTAGACTGTTTACTTAACCTGATAGGGCGAAGGACACTGTCTCAGCTGAACTATGGACACGCACATACATACACTTACACTGATAAGCACTCATACATCCCCCCTCCCCTTCCAATGCCTTTGATGCTTGTTACCTCTTGGCAACCGTCTGGGCCCGCGCTGGAGAGTCGGCGCAGTGGCAGGATGGCTGCTGTGTTGCCTGGGATTACTCCTCACCCCCTACCAAACCCTGTTGCTGGTCACGTGCTCTATAATGTTGTACTGTGGACATTTATGTGCTTTCTGTGCAGAGGAGTTTTTTTGTTTTTTGTTCTCATGCTGTCCTCCTATAGCCCAGCACGAGTAGAGATCTCTTTTTTTCCTCTTGTACTTTCCCATTGTAGTGTACATTTTAGTGTTTTTTTCTGTAATGCAACCGTTCTCTGACTTGTATCCCCATGTGATGTCTGTGTAGTGTGTGTAAGGTCGGGGGCGGGTTCATTCCACTGCAGGGCAACCTGCCACTGCATGTGGCGAATAAAATTTGAACTTGAAATTGAACTGACAGTGAGCTGACAGTCACTGAACTAATAGTCTCCAGGCCCACTGACCCAGAGAAACCCATGATGGACAGGTTAGCCAAAATCTCTCTCTCACCACTTTGAGCAGGCATAGCATTGCTAGTGAGTGGCGAAGAAACATCCTTCATTTTCTTGTTCATAGCAAATGGAGTTACAACTATGGTGGAGTCTGAGTTACTCACTGCGGCGCCTTGCACTGCTGGTCCAGAATCAGCTGATTCTTCTGAAGCCACAGGAGTGAGGTGAGATTTGGTTTGATGATGGCATGGGCACCGTCTCCTCCGAGAAGGTGGGGCCGCGTGTATGGAAACTGTCCCCTCCTGATTATCTGTATTTTTATCCTCTGTGACAGAGTCCAGTCTACTCACTGTGGTGACTAGCACTGCCGGTCATTTGTTTGCTGACTCAACAAACGTTCAAGGAGGGAGAGGAGATGGGGTAGGTTGGCAATGGCAAGGGAGCCTTCTTCCCTTCAGTGGAGGGTCCAACAAGTGAGCAGCAAGCAATGGTAGGGAAACTGTCCGCCTATGAAGAAAAAAAACAGGCAGCAAGGGCTCCCAGGGAGGCAGCTGCATCCTCCTTGCCCGTACTGCCCAAACCAAACAGCTCAAAGCTGGAGCTTGCCCTCAGCATGGTTACAATTTGAATTAGTTTTTTAATGTCCAAAAAGCTCACAGAAAAGGTAGTGGATGACAGAAAAGTATCAAAAAAACACTACCAGTATGTGACTCTGATGCTGATTTGCAGCCTCGGTTACGCTCTAGCAGTAACTCCAGAGCTGGGCGAGCAACTTCTCCTCTGAGGCAACATTTGAGTCCGCTGGGCCCATTATAGCGGAATTATTCTGTCATGGTCAGCGATGGCAGACCGTGGAGTTGAGGAAAGTTGGACCCAAATGCTCTTATAGTGAAGGACAGTGGATTTATTTATAGTGAGTGGAAAAAACAACTATGTACAAATACAGCACTGTGGCTTCCTTTGTGAATCCCACACAGTGCACGTGTCCAGAAACAGTGAAAATATGACAACTCCAAAACCCGATTCCGCTCCGTGATTTCCCCTCATGACGACGCTTCTTGCTCCCGACTCCTGGTGACACAAAACACATACAGCTTAGCAGGAAACCCACAGTAGCGATGTCGTTCACATAAAAACTCATCAACTGAGGTACTTTACAGGTTTGCCATAGTATAATTCCACACTGACTGGAGCTCTGCCACCTTCTTAAATAGGACTCTCTTGATGAGGCCATCAGCTGCAGCTGGTGAAGGCTAACAAGCGGCAGGTGCGGCAGCCTCCAGTGTGAGAACACTTCTGGGTTGCAGTCCTCTCAGCGACCCAAAATATCCCGGAGCTCGTATGACCACACACAGGAAGAAAGAGGAAAAAAGCAGCGAAAACCACCAAAAACACAACATATGGAAAAATAAACATATAAAAAGGAAAAAGGGGCCCTGGGTCCTTAGACCCAGGCCATGACAGGTTTATTATTTTTATTGTTTTTGGAAAATGATGATTGTTATTATGACAGTGAGTCATCTTACACTTGTCTTACGCCATCCAATAGACAGATCACCTACACAGCTATGTGGCTGTCTGAGCTGAGAGCAAAGCACATGCTTTTGGGGATTTGGTTGTAAAGTGTACTGATTAAAAAAAAACATCTTTAAAAATTCCAGACGGTTTCCTTAATTTTTTATACACGTTGCTATTTTCATCTCGAGAGCTTTTGCTCTACTTCCTACACCAAAACTGGAAGAAGTGTTCACTTTGTGATATACTGCCTGAAAATATGTGTATTCAAAGGAAAATCTTAGATATCACATTTTGTGAACTAGAGGTTCATAAATTCTTTAGCTTATCTCTGCAGCAGAGGCGGAGGCAGACATTTGATACACCCAGGGCTTAGCCCTAAAGGGTAGTATGCATGTGGGATGGGGGGGTTATAGGCTCTGTTTTGAGTTTTGTTCAAAAAAGGAGGACTTCATATAGGTTTTTAATTAAGCAGCAAGAACAAAGTCGGAGCTAAACCCCAATTCAACCAGACCCAGAACTGATTCGGAATTAAAACAGGACTACAACAGTTCAAAATCAGGACTACTTAGGACTTAACCAAGACAGAACCAGAATCAGAACTAGATGATAGTAGCACTAAAACCTGCACTACACTTATTTTTTAATTCTACCGAAGTCCACTATTTAGATTCAGAAAGGTTCATATAATTATTTAGCCTTGCTGTGAAAACAAGCCTGCATAACTTAATAAATGTAGAATTTGAAAAATAACAAACCTAAAAAGAAAGATTAGGTACGAGATACATGAGGACCTATGATACGGTGATACTTTTGGCAAACAACCATTTGACTAACATGCGTGTCTCACCTGCTCTTGTTCCATCTCTGTTCTTTCGTCATTCTCCTCTCTCTCCCTCTTTGTGCTGACAATCAAGCCAAACACCAACATCATCAAATATACAGTTGAAACCAGATATTTATGTACTCTTCAGATAAAAACACTTTTTACTTTTTTAATTGTAACATCAAATCAGACTAAATGTTTATTTTTTTTTAGATTGATAAATATAAAAAACATATTTGTTAACTTTAAGAGTAAAGAGAGAAACTATCTGTATTTCTTAATTGTAAATGGCACCAAATTGTATTCAAACTTGAGCCACACTTATGGAGCTCCACAATTCTTTTCCAGGTGTTTTGGTTGACATCTCTGGATTTTCCCATTTCAAAGAAACAGGCTCTGTGTTTTGCCTTATATGCATCCACAGCTGTGCCACCAATTTACTCACATGGACTCTACTAACCTATCAGAAGCTTCTTCAGCTCAGAATGGAATCTTCTGGAGTTTTCTTATTAATTAACAATAAACTTAGTGTATATGTGCTCCTAAATTTGATGAAAGAGATAAAAAATAGAAGTTCTGTCTCTCTTTATTCTGACATTTAACTAATTCAAAAGATATTTCAATATTTATTTATCCAAAACAAAACAAGTTTACTCTAAACTGATGTTGTACAGTAAAAAATGTTCTTGTGTTTTCCATAAAGTGTATGTAAATATCTGGTTTCAACTGTCAATATACTGCTGTGTGTTGAAATTTTTGTTTTGCATAGGAATATACTGAACAACATACAAAGTATAATATATAAAATAACATCTACCTGAGTTTTTTCTTTGAAAGAAGCTCCTTATGTCCATTCTTGTATATCAGTGCATTACTGAAACCGATTTATTTAGCCGTGGAGGGTAACAACTGAAAATATGAAATAAACACACATGTAAGCTAAGACTCTCTAAAAAAACAGCTTTGTTGTTGTTCGGCTTTTCATGTTGCCATTTGTTGATTCACTTGAAGAGCAAGTAACTTAACATGGGTCAAATGATCAGTTTGATATCAAGCTTTCGTGATGCACCGTCATATTTACATTATTTATACAGTACGAATGATTTGCTTTGGTACCTGCTCAAACTTCAGTTCTCCTCTGTCTGCCTGGCTGTGCTTCTCCAACAGCGCACGCGCAGGCAGCAGCTGCCCCGCCCCCTCGCTCAGTGCTTAGTGTCTGAGCTCGGATCATACCAATATTAGGGGGGATTTACGCACAGTCGTAAATTCCCACAGTGTGCACTATGTGCTTCGAATATTGTGTGTAGTTTTGGTTTTATACAGTTGTCAGCCAGGCATCTAACTATGAAAAAATTACACTCCAAAAGACCCCGGGCTTCTGAAAAAACAACCCGGACTTAAGCCCAGTAAGCCACCCCCCCGCTCCGCCACTGCTCTGCAGCCTCTCTTCCTAAATACACTCATTTAAATTCTTGTCTCCAACATGATTTAAATAGAAATGGTGAACTGACTTTAAACCCCCCTTTAGAAATGCACTCCTTTCTTTTATTGCGATGGCTTCTGACCATGTTCATGTCTTTTCTGTGAAAACTATGACAGCAGCACCAAGTAATGTATCTCTTTTCAAGCTTAATTCGGATTGTATATGGTGACATTTCTGTCATCATTATGATAAGTGAGTTCACTAAAAGACACAATTGTTTTGAAAAATTAATTGCCATGTTTCAAGCATTTGACACATCTACATTCATTGTTATGCTGTCATGTATCCAAATTAATCTCACAAAGAGTAATCAGGAGGCCTAAAAGTGGTTCCTTTATTACAAAGAAGGTATACAGTAGGGGAAATAATTCCCCTGGTGAATTTGTAATTTTGCCCAATTGAAAAGAAATTAATAGTCTCTAGTTTTTACAGTAGTTTCCTTTTAATATATAGAGAGAACATTAAAAAAAATTATATAAGCGTCATAAACTGATCTTTGGGGGTTTCATAATCAAACTAAATGCATTTCTTTGTGTCTTTACATCTCTTAGCTGTCATATGGCTCCAGCTCTCCTGCTCTGTCCAACCGACAGCGCTTCCCTACTTTCTTCCGTACTCATCCATCTGCTACACTGCACAACCCCACTCGGGTACAGCTCTTCCAGAAGTGGAAATGGACCAAGATTGCCACTATCCAGCAAACAACAGAAGTATTTACCTCAGTGAGTCATATATTACAATAATTCTGTGAACTCATGTACAATGAGGGGTGTGGTGAAGACACTACACTGGCCCCACCTTTAAATAGGAGCTCGCTAGTCAAAGTTTAGCTAAATGTATATTTAAGGATTTTGTTAGCACACAAGCAAAATTGTGAACTAGATGCATAGTCTTATAATATGCTCCACTCAAACTGTGTACTAACACATCCAATTACTGCAAGGGCAGAAAACTTAACATGAAAAGCTTTCTCTCATTTTATAAAATAAATTACTCTGAATTCACTGAAGGATAAGACTATAATAATGTGAAATATTTTGCCATTTAAAACAAGAATAATGATCTTAAGCTTTTATTTTACTTTAAAAATACAACATGTTTTTTTGCGACAGCTCACTTTGACACTAAAATATTTCACTCGAAACTAAATTTTATGGTTGCACCATGTATTTTTCAATACTGTCCTGTGAAGTGGAAAGGACTTGTCCCCCAGGCTGCTTTCTAACATGTGTGTCACAGTACTGGGTCCGTGACTCAGTGTTTTATGTTTATTGATTAATCTGTATTTTTGGATTTAGTGTTATTCATGTTTTTGGTTCTCCTTATTGTTCTCCATGTGTGTATCCTTAAATTCTAGTCTTTAGGTTTCTGCTACTATGTGTTACACGTTTCATGTCTAGTCACACCTGTCTCTATGTTTGTGCATCTCCCAGTCAGTCATGTCTCCATGTCTCATGCGTCTCATTCCCTCATTTCCTGTCTCACGCCACACATCTGCCAGCGAAGACGTGACAATGTGATTGTGAAAGAGTTCTTTTTAACTCAAACCATGATCTGATCTACACAAGTAGTTTTGGGCCACAACATTTACCAAATTGTGAGTGAAAACAAAGTACAGAGACCTTCCATGGTGTTTATTAAAACCTGAGGAAAATTCTGCTGCTCATGTCATCACCCTGCTGGCTAATGATGACTTTGTGGTTTTTATAAGCACTACAGTTTATGACTATTTATGCTCATAAAAACAAATTTAAAATAAAAATCAATAGATAAAATGTTATTTGAGACAAGACAAATATGGACAAGAGAAGATGAGTGTACTTGTTGATTTCTCCAATATTATATGTATCACTGCGTGATATGTATAAGATTTTGTTCTCATTTCCATCACCATTTGCCATCTTTTATCCTCAACATATGGTTTTATGTCTCTCCTGATTCATTTTTCTCCAGGCTTCTATCTGTGCTGTTTTATCTGATTGTTAGTAACATCACCTCCACCACTCACCATCATTTTTCAGAATGACCAGTTCATCTTCCCCCTCACTACTTTGCACTTATTTCAGTTGCTGTTAACTGTTCTTTGCATTTCTTCCTACTGCCTACTATTCCATTATCGTTCTCTTTCCTTCTTTAGTTGCTGTTTCTGTTGCTCAGTCCTCTTCTGTGTGCTTATTTTTGTGCTTGTCTCTTTTTGTGTGTCACAGACTCTGGATGATCTGGAGGAGAGGGTGAAGGAGGCAGGGATTGAAATCAGTGTTCGTCAGAGCTTCCTAACCGACCCAGCTGTGGCTGTCAAAAATCTCAAGGTGCGAGTTCCCCAATCATTCTTACACATACCAGCCAGCTGGACACTGATCAGTCAGGCCTTGTCTAGCCAGTTAACTGCCAGAGTGTTTGGATACTTGGCAAAAAAAAAGGACAAAAATTTCAGAGGTAGCCTGCTGCTCAGAATGTCGAGTTAGTAACAGATGGAAGTTCTTCCCAATGGACGAAACTTTGGTGTAAAAAGTGTGATCATAATTGTATTGTAGTGTCCTTGGGATGTTTTCACACCTCTTTTTTGTTTTTTCTGGTTGAAATCACTGGATGAGTTTGTAAGCGTGTAGATTTGGCCTGTACATAATGAGTAGATACAGTAAGAAGGTGCTGTGTTCTGGACTACAGGAGAAGCCAAAGAATTTACATTTATTTCATGGTAAATGGTAAATGGACTGATTCTTATATAGCACTTTTCTACCTCTCAAAGAGCAACTTTGGGTTAGTATCTTGCCCAAGGATATTTGGCATGCAGATTGGGGGGAGCCAGGGATCGAACCTTCCAATCAGCAGATGACCTGATCTACCTCCTGAGCTACAGCCACCCATTGGGGTGGCCTGTACAAACCTTTGCACGTCTATAGTATGTTCCTACATTGACAATACAGACCACACGTGGCTACGGGACATTTTTTAGCCCAAACTTGTAACATACACATGGTTCAGATCAGGGTCAGATCTCATTCACACCATAAATAAAGTGCCCTGGAGTTTGTTTGGAACTCTACTGAGACCACCTCCTCCAAAGGGTCTCAATACAGTTGTTTTGATCCGCACACCAATGAACTTCACTGAGGGAGCCTGACCAGAGTTTGATTTAACACAGCATTTGTGAAAATACCCTTACGATGCAATTAATGATGGTCAAAATTTGTCCAAATTCTTGGAAAGCAATACAGTGACAATGTTTCAGTCTTGACAATGTTGATGAGTAACTGCAAATTTTGTAGTCAAAAACTCAAAATATTACTGTTACAAATGGCACATGGCATTGCAAGGTAAGTGAATGTTTATTTGCATTGATTTAGTTTGTGCAGCTTTCCAGCTGCCTTCTTCAGCTTAACACAGCACACAGCTCTGCCGTCATCTGTTCATGACCTCAAGCTGAAGCGCACTTGGGTCCTGCAGCAGGATAATGATCCAAAAAACATCAGCAAGTCTACCTCTGAATGGCTTAAGAAAAAACAAAGTAATGACTTTGTAGTGGCCTACCCAATGTCCTGACCACTGTCCGACTGAGATGCTGTGGCATGACCTTAAAAAGGCAGTGCATGCTTGAAAAACCCTCCAATGTGGCCGAATTACAACAATTCTGCAAAATGAATCGGCCAAAATTCCTCCATAGCGCTATAAAAGATTGCCAGTTACTGCAAATTTTCACACCATTGTGTTCTCGCATCCAAATGACTTCAGTAAGATAATGCTAACCTGCATACTACAGCTATTAAAACAGCACAGCTTCATAGTAGAAGAATCGTAGTTCTGAACTTACCTACCTACAGTTCAGGCTCCAAAACATTTGGAGCATAATATAACGATAGAACAAAGAAGCAGAGCAGCTAGAATGCTCTATCACAAGAATGGCATAACTTTCTCTGTCAAAAGTTCAGCAGTTGCTCTGTTCAGCTCCCACACACATATGGACTGTTATCAAAAGATGAAGGGTTACTACAAAGTTTTATTTATGACCGTGTACCATAAAAAGGTACATTTTTGTCACTATGAATATTTGATATGTTTAGTTTTATATTGTGAATTGTGTATTTACATTTTACCCCAGAATTGGGTTTGTACAACTACAGTCAAACCAGACCTTTGGTGCACTGTATTAAGTGGTGATTGTCTGGTGACCACTGGAAATAATGTTTATTCAGATAATTTTTTAAAATTACTGCCAAATGAAGTGACCAGGGTTGTTTCAAGATGGATGCCAAGTGTTAAGCCTCATTTCTAGGAGAAAATGAAGCTCGTGTGAAACATAAAAAATGTCGAATTCTCTTCTTTTTTTAAAAATAAAATCCTGTTCTTTGATAGTTGACCGAGCTGTTTAGAATGTCAGAAGAAAATCTACAGTGATAAACATAAACACTCTCTTTTTGGACATTTCTTACTCGGAGCAACAGAGCTGAGGAATTACTCTCTCTGAGCAGCAGATTCTATGTCTTATCTGGTTAAGTTATCAGATATGTATTGTCAAACCAAAGATGGTCATTTTTGTCTCTGCACAGTCATCAGGATCCCAGACCTGGAGAGCTTTGCTGGCAACAAAGCTTGAGAAAGCTACAAAAAAAAAAAAAGTTCTGACATGTGTTGGCTGACTTGCTTTCTTCCTGCCACACACATACCTTACAATGACCCAGCCCAGCATGCCACCCTAGTTGTAGTAACACAAACATGGTAACGGGATAAATGTCTTGCAGTGGAGAGAACGTCTATTATTGTCTGATGCAGGATGAGGGTTGGCTTCTTTGTACCCAGCCCGGCATGGCTTTTAAAGTGTGTGTTCTGTCTCTTCTCTCTGTGACTGTGCTGTCTTCATTTTATTTTCACTTTCAAGCGTCAAGATGCCAGAATTATTGTCGGCCTGTTCTATGAGACAGAGGCAAGGAAAGTCTTCTGTGAGGTAATGTTCTAACCAGATTCATGTGTATACTTTAAAATATTACATAACAGAAACATTTTAGGGAGGACTTTTTGGCCCAGCTTAAAATAATATGATAATAGTGGGATAATAAGGTGGAAATAAGCTGGTAATGTTATAGAGATAGCAAGTTATCACTTGTCAGTGATCAGCCAAATGATATTCAAGTAATTATCTTGGATCAAATTTCTGTAACTGGGTAATAATAAACTAACACTTGATGTGGGAACAAACATGCCTTTCAGACAAAACCAATTAGTATTAGTATAACCTGGTAATATAGGTGCTGGACTCTGTCTCAGTCTGGAGTTGCCCCTGGTGAGAGGCGGCGGGCTGGGGGTGGGTATTGTAATATCCCCCTCGGCTTGCTGCCGGTACGTTGGGGTTTTTCCCAGTGGACGAGAGAGTTTGTTCCTTGTGCCTTACGGTCAGGGAACGGGCCCTGACTGTCATCTGCGCTTATACGCCGAGTGGCAGTTCGGAGTACATAGCCCTCTTACAGTCCATGGGGGTGCTGGAAGGTGCTCCACAAGGTGGTTGGTGCCTGCCGTGGTGGTAATCCCCGAACTAAATGGTGGACACCAGAGGTGAAGGGAGCCACCAGGCTGAAGAAGGAGTCCTATTGGGCTTGGTTAGCCTGTGGGACTCCGGAGCCAGCCGACAGGTATCGACAGGCCAAGCGCAATGCGGCTCGGGCAGTGGCTGAAGCAAAAACTCAGGTGTGGGAGGAGTTCGGCGAGGCCATGGAAAAAGACTTTCGGACTTCCTCGAAGAGATTCTGGCAAACCGTCAGGCGTCTCAGGAGGGGAAAGCGGTGCTCTACCTGCACTGTGTATAGTGCTGGTGGAGCGCTGCTGACGTCGACTGAGAAAATTGTCAGGCGGTGGAAGGAATACTTCGAGGACCTCTTTAATCCCACTGACACGTCTTCCGAGGAGGAAGCAGAGTCTGGGGATGAGGGGAATGAGCCGCCAATTTCTGGGGGCGAGGTCACTGAGGCAGTTAAACAATTCCTTGGTGGCAGAGCCCCTGATGTTGATGAGGTCCACCCCGAGTTCCTGAAGGCTCTGGATGATGTAGGGCTGTCCTGGTTGACACGCCTCTGCAATGTTGCGTGGAGATCAGGGGCAGTACCCGTGGACTGGCAGACCGGGGTGGTGGTCCCCATCTTTAAGAAGGGGGACCGGAGGGTGTGTTCCAACTACAGATCAAACTCCTCAGCCTCCCTGGGAAAGTCTATGCCAGGGTGCTGGAAAGGAGAGTTCGTCCGTTAGTCGAACCTCGGATACAGGAGGAATAATGCGGTTTTCGTCCTGGTTGCGGAACACTGGACCAGCTCTTTATCCTCTCGAGGATACTTGAGGGTGCATGGGAGTTTGCCCAACCAGTCTACATGTGTTTTGTGGACTTGGAGAAGGCATTCGACCGTGTCCCTTGGGGTGTCCTGTGGGAGGCGTTGCGGGAGTATGGGGTGTCTGGCCCATACGTTGCAAGAGCTTGGTTCGCATTTCCGGCAATAAGTCGGACTCGTTCCCAGTGGGTGATGGGCTCCCAGCTGCAGTAATGCGGACGCTGCACCAGTCCATCGTGGTGAAGAGGGAGCTGAGTGTAAAAGCGAAGCTCTCAATTTACCGGTCGATCTACGTCCCTACCCTCACCTATGGCCACGAACTGTGGGTAGTGACCGAAAGAACGAGATCGCGGACACAAGCTGCAGAAATGAGCTTCCTCCGAAGGGTGGCTGGCCTCTCCCTTAGAGATAGGATAGGGTGAGAAGTTCGGCCATCCGGGAGGGGCTCAGAGTAGAGCCGCTGCTGCTCCACATCAAAAGGAGCCAGCTGAGGTGGTTTGGGCATCTGACAAGGATGCCCCCTGGGCGCCTCTTGGGTGAGGTGTTCCAGGCATGTCCCACTGGGAGGAGGCCCAGGGGCAAACCCAGGACACGCTGGAGAGATTATATCTCTCAGCTGGCCTGGGAACGCCTTGGTGTGCCCCCGGATAAGCTGGAGGATAAAGCGGATGAAGATGGATGGATGGATGGTAATATAGTATTTTTGAAATAATGTATGTAATGTAAGTAATGTATTGGTAATATGTTTGCACTGAAAATTTTAACATAATGACTTGATAGTAACCTCATAATAATATTTAATAAAAATTGAAATTTTACCATCTTATAATGCTGGAATGAATCCTACCTATTCCTACCTACATTAATCCTTCTGTGTAATAACATTGAAGGCTGTAAAATGCAAAAAAAAACCAACCCCAAAAACACAACAATAAATAAATAATAAATATAAGTCTCCAAATTATCAAATTATCATACATGATGGAACATTGATTCTACATAGCAATGAGAGCTAGAATTATCATACACATTCAATAAATATGCAATTCTGCTATTTTACTCTCTAAGTTACCACCACCAAGTGCTAGCAGTTTATTACAAAATGTACATATCATACATATCATATCCTGGATTTTACTATTCCATGTTCCAAATAGATTTTGTTACAATTTTTAACAGGCCTCGGAAGATATTGCAATAAGTTCTGTATATAAAGAGGCCTGAGAGAAAAAAAAAGTAGACTTCATACTACTTAGAGCTTCTTTGTTTATATTCACAAGAACAATTTAATATTTTTGAACACTACAAGGCCACTTAAATGTCAGTTTACGTTAATGTCTCAAACCTAACCAGTGTCAGACAGAGCCTTCACAGGCTGTAACAGCAACACACTTTATGTCTCAAATGTACTGTTTCACAAGACTTGATGGGTATAAAATGTTTTGTTTTTTTAATATATTGAATATCACTATTGTTGTTGATCTTAAACCCTCAAAAGTAACACTCACAGGTGAAAAGTTATAGTACAGGGTGGGCCATTTATATGGATACACCGTAATAACATGGGAATGGTTGGTGATATTAAAGTCCTGTTTGTGGCACATTAGTATATGTGAGGGGGCAAACTCCTGAAGACGGGTGGTGACCATGGTGGCCATTTAGAAGTCAGCCATCTTGGATACAACTTTTGTTTTTTCAATTGGAAGAGGGTCATGTGACACACCAAACCTATTGGTAATGTCACAAGAAAAACAATGGTGTGCTTGATTTCAACGTAACTTTATTCTTTCATGAGTTATTTACAAGTCTCTCTTTGTTCACAGCCATTGACATGTCGAAGAGGTTAACACGTGAGGAGCAGATCGAAATTGCATTGATATCTGGTGAACGCAGTAACCGGGTCATTGCAGAAGATTTCAATGCAAGACACCCTACGAGACCACCCATCTCCCATGCTACAGTTAGCAAACTGCTTGCTAAGTTTCGTGAAACTGGTTCATTGTTGGATTTGCCACAATGTGGGTGCAAGAAAACTGTCACTAATAAAGAAACATCAGTGGCTGTCCTAGATTCATTCAGCAAGAGCCCACAGCGTAGCACTCGGAGCTGGCATGTTCCCTGAGTTTTTCCAGCAAGATGGTGCACCACCACATTATGGGTTCATTTAGGAAGTCCGAGCATTCCTAGATGAACAGTTTCCTGGAAAGTGGATTGGTCGTCGTGGGCCAGTTGAATGGCCCCCAAGGTCTCCCGATCTG